TGAAACGCTTCCACACCGTAAGGCATTAAAGGCAAAGTTCATGATAATTTTGGGTAATCCAGATTATGATGAAAATTGGAAGACAAGATCGAAACTAGCGCGACTGAGGTGAAGAAACTGCGTGCATCGGTGTTTCCAAAGTGCAAAAAGGCTTCGAAAAACCGTTAAAAAAGGGCTGGAAGAGAATGAAACCAGAAATATGAAGAAGGGTGGGCGTCCGGACGAGCTAAATAGTGTGTTTCACTGCGCGCGTGTGGGTCCTGGTGCGAATAACAGATAATGGTAAGCAAAAATTCATTCACTTGCAAGCATAAATAAAAAAGAACCCTAGTAAGGACAGAAGTAGCTGACCTTTTTCAGCCTCCAGGAACAGAAAATTAAATAAGGGATCGCGGCAGCAAAAAGAAAAACAGTGAAAAAAAGAATGAGAGAAAAACATCGCCTCATCAGTCGGCGATTAGCTGATGGTGCGTGGGTCCTAGAACGAATAGTAGCAATCTGTATTGTCTCGACACTCGTCTAGCGTGTCACCGACGGAGGGGCGGGAAAGCGAACTACGGCAGCAACGGGGCTTCCACTATGCCCTAACCGCCGAGATTGTGGGAGCGAGAGGGTCCCTTCTACCACCCATGGAGGGCGCTGAGTATCCCTAGAGGAACAGCACAGTAAACTTTTTTATCGTGAACCGTGCCTTTAAGGGAGAGTTCCGCCTGGAAGGGATAACGACGGTTATGAAGTTGGTGCCATATCGTGCACTACTCTGACGGTGGAACTAATTTGTCCCGTACTGCTTCATTACTATCAAGATGGAAAGAGTTTCTTCTGTGAATGAATTTAGCATCAACAGTTCTAACCCTGAGTAATGTTTCCTTTTTATGTAGCAGTAACCAACCTTGTAATCTCCCTTCTCATTCGGAAGGTATCCACTGGTTCCGAGCTTCAGCTCATGACTCTGAAACAACATAGAAATAACGTGAATAGCTGGTTACAATAGTCAAAGAGAACTGATAGTAATAGTAAACATCGTAAATAGTAAGGTCATAAAACTCTCACAAACGCCCCTATATACATAATTGCTTATAATTGCTGAGTAATAGGCCATGATAGGACAATATGTGACTAATCCTCTGATGAAATGAACAACAACCCTGTATGATTGGGCCTATCACTTTTCCAGACTGGACGAGTTTTTCAAGAGTTTGTTAGACTCGTTCCCTTTGCCTGTGGGAGCGGATTAGAGGATGTAGCTGGAGCTGTTCTGATCGGTTCCCACGCAGTTGTTCGGGAACCGATCGGCCGAAAGGGTAAACTCTTAACTCTTTTTCTCCCAAACCATCTACCCAAAACACAAATGTGAACTGACTGCCATAATCTTCCACCACCACCCCACTAAACAGAAGTAAGACCATCTTCGGAATTTATTCAAAAAATAAAAGTGTACGAAAATTCCTTACAGGTTTTTCGGTTCCGAGTTTGTAATTAGGTGTAATCGTCTTTACGTTGCCTTCTCGTGCTTTGCCTTCCTTCGTTGACGGATGGTCCTCCTGAAAGAAGTGATTTTTGTTATAAAAACGCTGTATTCAAGTTAAGCCAGTTCGTTCATGACTTCGATCGCGTAGCTATTTTGAGCCCATGAATGAAATCAATCGTGAAGTGAATCATTCAAAAATATGATTACCCAGCATTGGTTGGGTAATGCGCCCAAATGGTTGCCTGGTTACAGTAACCTATCGTTGAATACTCAAAATCATACTGTGAACCCGTTACTCTTTTAGGGTAACCAGTATGATCGATGTGAAAGCGCTAACTTTCGTCCACAGCCGTTTGAAATGGTCGTTTATCATGCCCATTGGATGATTCTACAAGGGCCATAACCTTCCAGTGTTAGAAGTCAAGAGGCGATCTATCCGTTTGAGCCCCAAATTGCGCTTGCTCCTCTGATACCCTCACGATCTTTACGAATAGACTGGTACTTGTCGGGTTAGCCTTGCGTTTTACTGCTTGTCTTCGAAAACGCGAAAATAGCGTTCTGTTCTTCATGACGGCTCCAATGATCATAATCGTGAACACATTTATTGCCAACGTCGCGTCGAAAAGGAAAAAACCGTCAAGACAAGGATGAAAACCGTCGTCTAGAATGGTTCAGGATCCCCTTCTAAATGATTGGGTGAAGAAATTTTTCCATGAAATCGAGACTGAATTAGGTCCAGGTTCACAAAAACGCCTGGATGTTGTCCAGCTCCAATAGCTCCAGTTTGTTAGGAGACTAATGGAGGGTTAGACTGTGGGACATTGCGCATTCACCAAAGTATTCAGACTGTGTTTATTTGGTTATTTACCTGTTTATAAATTACTTATTTGACACACTACTTATACATTCATTCAGTTATGTATTAATATGCATGAATAATTGCTGAGCTTTTGACGTCTACGCGCCCCTAATTGGTAAGTGCACTACGCTATCGAGAAGAAAGGAAGGGATTGAAGGCAATATGATAAAGGCAGATATGAAGGTCTACCTGCCCAGCAAGTCTAGTGCCTACCTCATCGTACTGGCTATAATAGCTACCCGGAGGTTACCACTCATGGGTTATACATATTCCCTCGGTGAAAACCTCTAGCTGAAACTTCTACCAGCAGGTCCGAAACCATTACACTGCCGAATTCATAAGGGGCTTCTGAACAAAATCAAAACAAAATTCGGTATGGTGCTGTTCAGTTTACCAAGATTTGATAGTTTTCGTCCTGATGATTGTGTATTACCAAATTTGATCAAGTTCAACATTTTGTTTACTATGAGGACGAAAAACTGTCAAAAAGTAAACATCTCGCTAGAGTTTGTGGTTGTCATCTTGCACAATCAAAGCACTCAAATCCGGAAGGGCTCTGAAGTCTCTTAAAACGTTAAATCCCCAGCTTTGCCTCAGTGATTCTCAGAGTTGCTAGAACAGTAGCAACCCGCTCAAAGGCGTCGGAAAGTCGATCGGAAACCGCTTCCCATACTTTTTAGATTAAAAGAGGAGCTTGGATTTGGAAAATGGGTTGGAATGAGAGCTGGATTTATGGTGAAACTGGTCGTTGGCTAATACCGACAGACGCTTGATACGATCGTAGCTATAGCCTATTCGCTTGTCGCATTAAAACTATCCTGATTCACACAATTGCAACAAGCCACGGCCCGCATAGTCATTGCTAATCCGGATGGGCCATCATACAAGAACCTCGTCGTGATCGAATTCCCAGAACAGAAAAACCGCGTCGTTGATCCTGTCCCTGAGTGTGATTGGTCAACAGCCTGCATCCTGGGTCCTAGTTAAGGCATATAAAGCATGTTATTGAATAGACTGTACTTTATTGAAGAGGAACCGGTTCCAGGCAATCAGCCGAATGAACGAAGAAGGCCCATAAAAAGGATGTCCGTCTGAAACCACCTTGCAAAACGCTCTACGGGACAGGCTGGCTGTGTCTCACGCGTGACCATTCGCCATGAAAATCTCTCAAAAAATCCAGAGCGCTCTTGGGACGGTTTTTGGGGTTCTTGGTTGTAGGGAGGGAGGGGGGGGGGGGGGGGGGGGGGGCAAAAGATTAGTGTTAGTTCCTTCCTGTACAGTTTCATCAATCAAATTCAATTCATTTAATCAAATTAACTGAGCAATTAAAATTCTTTTCAATCAGGGATTCAATTTTTTTTCTACTTGTGCTTTGGGAACTGAAAAAGGTGCCCAGTAGACTGGAACTCCTTGGGCTGACGACTTTGGTAGATTGTGGAAAGGGAAAGAATAATTCTGCCACTGATCACTAAAGATTTGTTTATTTTTGTTTATTCACTCACTCTAATCCGAAATGATCTACCCTGTTTGATTGAATAACAGAAAGCCTCCCATAAAGTAAGGTTGAGACCTAACTTGAGCGTTGGTACTGGTTAATTGTATACAAGTACCGAACTTCGATGGCAACACAGTTCGATTTCCGGTCGTGGGACTTCGGCAATCGTCCTAAGTAACGGCTGACTCACTTTATCCGACGAGTCAACTTTGTATGCTTCCGATAGAACGTTCTGGTCTGTAAACGACGATGGGGATGGTTTTTCTCAAGGGCGCTCACATGACACGACAAAAGTGTTCAGCCCAGAAAACGACTATGAAAAACTTATTGGAGATTACACTGTCACGAGTACAAGGGTATAATAGATGCCATTAAAAATATTTTAGATTTGTAGCAGTTTTTGTGAAAGGGAAAAGGAGTAGGACTATCTCTGCCCTCTTTGCCCCCTGAGCTTACGGCCAGGCGGACTCAGAGACTACCGCCCAGGTCTTTTCTGGGACAACGATATTAATTTAGGAATTCCTATTTTCCTACGGTTCTCCAGGTTACCTTTGGGGTGTTTGAAACGTAGCTCCATGGTGGCCTTGAAATGGGCTACATCATAGAAAGAAAGCGTTTGCCGGGCCCTAAACGTCTGACAGACTGTGTTCCCACAGAACTAGTTATGCAAGCATCGCTAAATTGCTTTCGCGGCCCCCTAAATACCAGGGATACTTCTCAAGCTCAGGGAAAAGCATTCTGGAAGCGTGAAATGCCCGTTCTAGAGCCGTTCGGTTCCGTCGCCAGTTTGTAATGCCGAGTAATTAGCATTCATAACTGTTTGGAAGGTGAGTAGCGCCGATCGAGGGGCAGTATATCAGCCGAGAACTGGATGCTTGATTCCTTCGAAATCCAAGGAAGGTAAACTGGTGTTAGAAAATTGTTTTATCATTTTAAGTGTGTGTTTGTATATTCTATTTCTGTAAATATTTTTTATGTTAAGATGGAGGTGAGGTAGGGGCCCAGATTGCATCGGTATTATGTGTGAGTTCTCGGGATCACTTGCGAATACGTTTTCAACAGATTTAACCTTTCAACCTGAATACCCAACTCTTCCCAACTCTCCGGGGTTGGGATGCGGTACAAAATGCTTTCGTGAGGACGAAGTTCAACTTGGTCGGATTTAACCTAAGTGACAATCGGAAGCTGTTCTTAGGACCTTGTACGTCTTCAAATCCCCTCGTCATCGTGGCGAATCTTCAGGATATCCCAAAACTGGATTAGTTTGAAAGAAAGGTTTATTTCAGCGCCATTCCTGGTTTCGATTTAACTGGCCTTGTACGAGCTTTGAGTTTTCAAAAAGAATTTCATAAAAATTCTCAGAAGTGAAACGGCCAGTCTGATTTGGAGCGTATCAAAAACGGGACTAATCGGTCAAAAACAGAGCAAAAACTTTTCTCTCTCTTCTTTTTTTCATCCAAAATATTCAATAGTCAGGCAGATTCCTGATTTCAACAGTACGTGAGAGATCCCGAATACCCATGCCCATTCCACTGTAGTATTTCAGCAGTCGTTCTCATGTTTGGGCAAACTCAATCCAATTTCTCACATCATTCGGGAGAAGAAACATGTTTGTCCAGTCTGGTTGTCTGGACTTGACTTTTTCCTAGCAACATTTCCATATGTATTGCAGATATAGCAACCAGCAGTAGCTGCAGCAACAGCCCAGCCCGTCCGCAGCAGCCATCATCCATTGAGTGCACGAAACCGGTTCCCTAAGCGAATCATATGGCTGATGTGATGATAGTGCGAGCGACGGTAGAGGAGGCTAAGCTGCTGCTGCTAGCTGACGCTCTTATCATCCACTTATAACCCCCTTTGAAGGCCGTTGATGGGAAAATTTTGACGATTCCCAGCCTTGCCCCATTAGGCACTATGGGTAAAGCTTCCTGCTGTGTTAATCAGCCTGATTGGAAGTTGATCATGGCTAGACGCCAAAGGGCGCACGAGTGGCTTGGTTGAATCCAGGAATAAGAGTTAAGAGCGGTTTCCTTCGATCACATGCTGCTCCAAGTTGCGCCATGCATTCGACTACCGCAGAGGATCGTAATCAAAGGAGTAATCTAAGGAATTGAGACAGAATAAAGGCTATAATGCTATGAATCGATTTTTACTGTATTATGAGGGTGCCATCTCAGCTCTTAGCACATTTTCACAGGACTCCGAAATGGTCGTTAGTCGAAAATGAGTGATTACTCTCTAGAAGGATTGTCATTGCCCATGACATATCAATCACTAGGAAATTATAGGCCATTTCTGTGATCACTGCGTGGCTAGAGAAACTGGTGTTGAAGTTCAGAGGGTTTCCTCAGCCATGAATCACCGCACGTCCATAATTTGTATCCAAACAAGTACTCTAGAAAAGATGTTTCAAGAACTAGGAATGGCGCCAGCTCTGGCATGCCGGTCTACCATTTCATCCAATTTTGTCTATGTGCAAATAGAAGACCAAAGAATCCATATGATTGATTAGAAGGATCGGGAAAACTACTTCGAATAGAATCGAATCTGAAAGGGGGATAAGGGCGAAAGCAGCTGTACGACCGCTATTTTCACTAATGCCTTTGAGGTCGAACTATAAAGCTTCTATCTGTGAAGCTCTAGATTCGTACGTTCAACTGTTGGAATGTCATGTCCTGCCCCATGGCCACAAAGCGGGGTCAAACTAAGAAAAAGCTAGTCAACTGACACCAAGAGAAGAAGGGAGGCCTGAGGAATCCCGTTTGGAATACGCCGTGCACAAGGAACAGAAACAGATAGGAAAGGATGGTGTGATTGCAAATGAGAGAGCTCATAGCTAGACTCACGATGACATAGAAGAATTGTGATCGTTGGCAGTGTAGGATGTGGGGTAAGAAAAGAAAACCTTCAGGTAATTGACAAGGATCACCCCCAAGTCCGGTTCTTCCCAGTACTCGACTCTGTCATATTCGTGGATGTTATAAACGGCTGTATCAAACAAAATCAATTAAATTCATTTTTTTAACTCTCAAAGGAAGTCAGAAGGCTATTCCTGCAACAGATCCAATAATTCTCTTCACTAATGACGATTAGTTTCAAATGACACTTTTTCTTACTCAATTACAGGCACTTATTGCCATGAATACTTTGATTGCCCCTGAAGAGACTAATTTTTCGTTTTGTGAACCTTTTTTTTTTACAATCGCGCTTACACAATAAAACCAATAGAATTGATAGATAGGATCCGTAGTATTTTGTTTCATTTGTTTATTTGTTTGGGGCGCAAACAAAAGTCTTAAGGAAGCTGTAGTCCAGAACTAGAGCCGGCTACAGTCAGCTTCTAAATAGCTTCTATCCTTGGCCGAACTGGATCTTTACGATTTGTGATTTCTCTGAAGACTGCATGGAATTGCATTACTTACTGGTCCAGGTGGTTGTCCTTCTTCCGTTTTCACAACTGGCGTTGACCATCGTTTCACGGAGGTCTCTGCTTCGATTCTAGATGACATTGTCGACCAGACTGTAGGTGGTACTGGTGGTGGAGGTGGAGGAGCTTTCTCTGGAAGTGGTGGTGGTGGTGGATCGTTAGCAGTTGTGGTGAAGTCGTCTGTTGGTAGAGTGATCTCAAGCGGTCGCACGTACACCCGAACCGCGATCGGTTCTGCAACAGATCCAGATTATCAATCATAATGAGATCAATAATAGCTAATGGTAAACAAAAAGTCACAACAACATATACAACAGCAAGGAATACGGTAGGAAAGGTTTTTTCGAAGAGCGGAAGCGATAGAATGCTGGAGAGGCCCAATCAAAGTATAGAGAGAATGTAAGACATTACACATAAGTCCAGAGGACAGCGGACATTCTGGAACTTAATTGGGTGAATTTCAGATTATCGTTGGAAGAATTTTTAAGCACTCCCAGCCGACGCTTCTGCGACGGAGGTCGTACTCTGGGTTGACGTTCTGGAGAAGAGTACAGCAGATAGGAGGGGACGGTAGCTAGACCGAAATTCGGTAGGGAAGGAAACGAGCCATATATCAGAGAAATTTCGCTGCCAAATTATACAAATAAAAACTTGTATTTCTATTAATATTTTTCGAAGAATTCTGGTGACAGAATAATTGGATGCTAGGGCCAAACTGGCTGACTGGGTTGTCCTTGTCAAACAGTGTTTTCTGCAGGGAAGGTGACCCATCAAAAAGATTTACTTCAATTTGGAACGGATCTGAAACTGTAAGAGAATCAGAGTTTCTTGAACCTCATATGAAATACCTCGTTACCCCATTCACCGGACCCATTTGCCCTGAAATTCTATCCACTTGATATTTTTCTTTGAAAAGAAAAAACTCTGGGGTTAACAGGTTTTGATTGAGAAACACTTCGAGAGAGACGTGGGCGAAAGCGGAAACAATTTGAAGAGCAAGAAAAGAAGAGGTGTCAAAGAATTGAACAGGACTTGACGGCCACGCCCAAATGCCATCACAAATCGAACAACAAGGTCATTGCCCATACAGGAGCGATTTTCCAGAAATCCTCACCTCGTTGCTTTTTTTAAACCATGTAAGAATCTACTCTCCTATCAGGGAATGAAATAAGTAAAAAACACAAGGTTACATACCCAAGCTGGCTAATCTTTTCAGAATACGCCGTGCATTCACCTCCGCTCTTATTAGACTTATGATTAATGAAGATAGATTTCACTGTGAATGTTAGCCGACCATCTCTTATTTGGCAATACTCCATATTTTTATAGAAACTTAGGTAAAATTCATGTAAGTAAGCATTTAGTTAAAAAATTTCCAGTTCATGGAAGCTTAGCCGAACCGCAAAATAAAAAGTTTGACAAGAAGGTCGGGATGATTTCCAAGGAATACCAGCTGTACCTACGTCTTTCGTACGGGATTTTTTCGTTTTCCTGAAGGACTCAAGAGTGAAACAACACCTTGCCTTCCAATTATCCTTTCTGTTGTCATTATTATCAGGAAAAACATATTTATCATTCGGAAAGGGTGGAGATGGTGTATTGGTAAGTGTCCCACTGTCTTCCACCTGAGCAAACCAAGCCTTCCATAGCTCTGGGGTCGGTAATTGGTACGAGATCCGTCTAGGAGGATAAGAGAACTGACTTGTTCATCGGTTGGCTACGACAAGCCATTGTACAGGCCACCTACACATTCACGAGGGCGCATCCCTCAGACGGGATTGATCAACGCCCAAAGACTATGCCCTTTATCTTCTTGTCATTTGGCAAACACCTTTATTTCGGGCATAGATGGTCGTACTATTGTTATTCGGACTATTCTCTACCCGATAGAGAAATGAAGTGAAGATCGAAGAAATTAATTGCGATTTGCAAACGCTGTAATCGACCAGTTGAAAGTCGAAGAAAAATGAGAATCAAAGAAGGATGTTAGGGCAGTTTCCAAGCAGAATGGCGATTTTTCCCGTAATGGCGGAGAGAGAAATCGGTTGCCTGCTGATTGATTGGAATGAATGATGGATGAGACAAGGCGGAGCAACCAAGGTTTCGAAGAGAAACAGAGATGGTGGTGACTAACTAAAAGGGAAATAAATGAAAAAAGTTGATTATTCAAAGATGTAAGGCCTCATCGCCCCATTAGCCAGGCCAGGTTTTGATCAAAGTAATGTAAGATTCGGAGAGAAAGTGCAAAAAATTGCAAAGGTAATCTTTGGTCTACCTTGAGTCAAAAGAATGCCGTAACCGGCTTAGTCACCGGCATCCATCAGCGTCTGAACACCTTGTGAATCAGTGTTTGCATAAATTTTCGTGCCTTCTTGTTAGGAGAAGGTTGTGGCTTACGGTAGATGATGGGGGAGGAGCTGAACTAATGGAATGTTCAGAAGGTTGTTAGTGTAAGCCTAGTGAACAGAAAATAACTACAGCTTTTTAGGGGATTTGATCACCGGGCTATAAATGCGATAACGGCGCCACCGGGCATACCACCATTGCCACCGTCATCCAGACCATGTTTCTATTATGTAGCAATATTTGTGAAAAAAGAGGAAATAATGAAAGAATGGTTACAGCTCTTTCTATAGAGGAAAAAGGGAACGTTCCCGGTGAATACTATCAAGGAAGCACTCAGAACTGGCTGGTGTCTGAGGCAACAAAAAGTAATGCACACAAGAAATCACGGGAAAACTGGACCCATTTGGGAGAAAATTCATAGTTGCCAAGAGTAGGTAGTCGGCAGAAGGCGATAAAGAAAGCGGTTACCTTTGGGGAAAACAAAGTAATCTTCCATAACTTTCAAATCGTTTACAACATGACTGTCGCGAGTTTAAAGTGTCCAAGAAATGTGGCGATAGAAATGTGGGGGAAATCTTCAGGAAGAGCGGACGAATGGGTGAAAAAAAANAAAAAAAACTTCTCAACGAACACTTGAAAGTGTACTGTGCACGTGAAAGGAGGATCAACAACTTTGCGAGACAGAGAGAGATGAATAGCAGAAAACATGTTGAAAGGGCAAAATGTCATCAACAGTCAGATAATCAACCGACTGATTAGGGAAGTGACACTTCATCGACCACGACGATTGGAATCTACCCAAATGGCGAAACAAGGGACCAATTAGCTCCAGGAATGACGCCGGACGAGAAGGGATAGCCAAAGATGATCGAGAAGATAGCAGCGACTCAAAATACTGGATTTTATGGCTTGAATTTCAGCTCAGAGTCTGAGAAATAGCCAAAAAACTGATTTCCGTGGGCAGAAGCAGAAGTCGCACATGCCTGGCATACCAAAGGGGTCTGTTTTCTCTGGCGCTAATGGTGGCTTCATCAACGGCTTCGTAGCCGTCGTCGTCTTTGCCCCGTCGTCGCTGGGTCGGTCGGTGGAGGTGGTCGTTGTCGTGAGCGATTGCGATGCGGCAACGACGAAAAACAATCGTACATACCGGTTCAGGAATCGGCCACGCCCTTCTGAAACGTTGCATCGATCAGACGCCATCAGTATGATGGCAATTTGGGTAAGACTATCGGTCGGTAACGATGATGATGCTGAACCGATAACAACGGCTGCAAAACTGGAAACTCTCAAAGAAATTAGGGCAGCAGGCACGCAAGAAAGTTCACCGAAAAATTCAACCATCTGGGCCTATCGGGAACGAGATCCATGGAGAGAATCCGTTCACCCGTAACAGCCGTAAGGGGTTGGCAATGCCTACCTAATCCTTTCCGTATGTGGCAACAGAAAGAAACCCTAAGGTTTTATCAGAGTTTTTCGACTATGAGAATGGGGAGGATTCCGGGAAAGATATCGAGTCCACCCTTGAGATGACTCAGTGAGTGATAACCGCTTATCGCTCACTGGAAATCGCAATGCGAAGTTGTCACCCCAATGAACTTCCCATAGAGTTTCTTCTGGGACAAAAAGAAATAGGTCTAGTTTTTTAGTCGGAAGAAAGATTATCATGTGGAACGATTTCCAAAATGGAAAGTGAATTAGGACTAGTTTTTCAGTCGAGAGAAGGGTAATCGTGTGGAACGATCGTTGAGTTTTGGAGCAGGAAATTGTACACAAAAAATGCAAAATGAGGAATGAAAGTTTTGAAATCAAAAGGAAAGAGTCACCGATAAAGCGTAGGGATGGCTGCCTCAAAATAAGTGGCAGTCGGCTGTCCTTACTACTGGACGAATATGGCTTAAAAATGAGTAAATATTAACTGAACTTCAACTGAATAAATAAATATTGTGTCCTATTTTAACAGTGTCGTAGAATCAAAGAAATGAACAACTTAATTTGAAAGCTTTAGAAATATATGAAGTTGCCGGAAATAGCTGCTTCCATTGTCATATATGGAATGGCAGGATATTGTCTCTTCACTTGGCCTCCCAGAACTATCCACCTAAAACGAACGTTATGTCTCAATTCCCTTTCTTTTCCACCTTCCCGGTCCAATGCAATTTGCTTTGTTTTTTTTTGTCTTCTTGTTCTTACTTCCGTTCCAATCCTTAGGGCGGGCCTTTCCAACCCTTAGGGTGGGCCTCGATCGATGGGATCTAGAAAAGTAAGGGGGGAGGACTTCTACAGCTCAGCCAAAATGTTTTAAAACACAGGCAATTGATATTTATAATTTTTTAATGTTGCCCCGCTGATTGCAGTAGGGTAATGGAATTCTATGTTGGAGGCGGTATGAAGACAAGTACAGTTCTATACGCCCTTATTCACGCATAGCCCACGGCTGGTATCCTGGACCCCACTTGCTCAGAAGAATTAAACCTTTCATGTCCCGGGGTCGAGTAATTGGTACCAGGTTTGTCTTGGCACTGACGTGTACATTGGATTACCACCGCAAGCCATTGCATAGGTTGCATATGTATTCAAAACACCACGACAATTGTGAACGAAAGTCGAGTTCAGGGAGCGCCTCCTGATAACGGGATTAGCCCCAAGAGTCTCATGCTTCGATGAGATAGTGGGGTCTAGAAAACGCAGTGCTCATTAAATACACTGAACAATAAGGATGGATTTAAACGCCTTTGCAAAGCGTTTTTTTCAGGGCAATTATCATCGCCCTGCTCTTTTTGTAAACACTAACCCCTTCTTTGCAGAAGTGCAAATGCGCCATCTTGCCGCCTTGTCACGGATTATATGGCACAAGCTTGGTACTGGCAAATCCGAAGACTGGGTAGCCCAACGTAACCTTTCCCACACACCAACCAGGAAATCGCGTATAGGGTTCATATATTAAGTATAAATACTTGTTTACAAAAACCATCAAGTTGTCTTGTTTAAATACCATTAAGACCGGATGTGCACTGATCACGGTCCCTACGATAATTCCCTAGGATTCCAAATAAGAATTCAATAAGTGAGGGTTTCATTGTTGAGGGTCCCATCGCTCTTTTCTTCAATCTTCCCATATAAATCACTTCGGGAGTTTTTGGACGAAAAAGAAAAAAATATATATACGTAAATATAATAACTTAAAATAGTATTGGCTTGATGTTTTGTTGAATAAAAAATCAACAATTAAATACAAAAAAAAATTATTAAATTCATAAATATCAATAGATATAAAAGTATAAAATATATATAAACAATTTATTATGAAATGACATGAAAAACGCTCCTTTTTGCTCTATCATAAGAAATTTTCGAAATGATCCTTACAACAATTGATTTCGATTATTGATTATGCTTTTGATAAGGCATTGATGAAAAACTCGTTGTATGGCTGAAATGTCAGTTGATACTAGAGAAATCAAAGTGGAGATGGGAGGCGGAATAACGGCGTATGAGAAGTTTAAGCTGGCCTTGATCGAAATGTTTTAATAGGGCGTCAATGTTCCCAGGAAGAGCCTATCACAATGAAATCAATGTGACAACTTATCAAAGGGTTTTTGTCTCGAATGAAGGTCGAAAATGACTGACGCAAACCGCTTTATTGTAAATACTCGACGGAATTGATAGCGTTGAAAAGGTGATACTTCAGGAAAAATTGATTCTGTATGAAGTAATTCAGAAAAGATCAAGGAATCATAATGGAATTTGAGTACCATGGCAATTAGGTGTGGACCGGGCAACGGGGAAGACCATTAGAAAAAGAACTTGGCTCTGGAGCTCATATTTGTTTTTTGGGATTATTTTTCTCGTTGAGCACTGTGCCAATGAATAGGATAGAAAAAGCGTCAAACGGAGATTGATCCTGTTCAGTCTGCGCCATGCATTGGTCTCCACTCAGAATAGCGGGGATATTCAAATGTTTTGTATGCATGATATACGGCACAGCTTGAATAGAAACCAGAATTATTTTTCTTAATAATCGACCCAAGATTAACAGAAGGCCCTGTGTGTGAATTAGATCCCTGGACCACTTGGTAACACCATTCGTACTAGCTGAGTACTGTAACCATTTAGGGCGACACCATTCGTACTAGCGGAGTTCCATGAATTGGAACTCTATACAAGCATTTTTGACAAGGGATGAAATCTTCAAATCCTCGTCACTCCCGTCTTGGGATGCGCCCATGCCCGAGTCTTCTTTTGAATCGTGGTCTTTCATTTGAATCGAAGCGTTTGATTGTGCGTATGGCTTATGCAATGGCTACAGGAACTAGTCGATCGAATCAGTTTTTTTTATTCAGGCGCACAAGTTTCAGACGGACACTAATTAACTGGCCCTAATAAAGGGAGCCTTGGTTGGCCCAAGCCGGTTTCAGTCTGGAATTTGATCCCGGACCTATTCCCGAGTACAAATACTCTTCTTAACACTTATGTGCTTCTTCTTCCCAGTACATCCCTGAGTGATAACGAAAAACTAATGGACTGAAGTTTTATAAGAGAAAACCAATCAACACGATCTGATTGATTCTATTTATGTTGATTCATTCATACACACCCAGAAATATACCTACAGTACAGAACCAACTTCCATATAGGAACCTTCATTATGACCCTCTATTCTTGCTCAAAACCTGATTTCCCAATTCGCGTCACACCCATGGGCTTTCGGCAGTAGGGCGATTCGCCAAATTATTCGGAAGGTCTACGTTACCTCCAAGTTTCACAAAGACATGAATTTCAAAATGGAGGGAGATCTGGGGGTGTAAGTCTTTTTATTTTAAAGGTAAGGGTGTAAGAAAAGACAGGACAACGACTACAGCGGCTGGTTCATAATCGGAGCGAGACAACGGAACAGAAAAAGGGTGTAGTCGGAAGATGGGATGGTTGGAACCGTGCGTCGGGCCCCCCTAGAGTGAGAGACAAAAGGACAAATGCTCATGTGATTGGATGGATTGGCCTTGAGCGTGAGTTGGTTGCAGCGACTGCGACCACCATGTTGGTGGCGGTCGTTGGCGGCAGCCGCCTCCACGGATGGCACCGCCGATGGAGATCGTAGCTGGCGAGAACGAACGAATGAAGCGGGACGGATTCAGAAGTGCGACAACGACCCCTGTGGCGGCAACGACGAACAACGAGATGAATGGAATGCGGCAGCAATCGCAGCAACCTGTTACCCACCAAAAGACTCGCACATACATACACATACACCTGCAACCAGCTCCAAATGCTGTTTGCTTTCAGTTCAATAGAGGCCGCGTAACCGCAGCACAGAGCCTACACGCTGTTTGCCCGTCGCATTCTATCAGCACAGCAGACCACACCCGCTCGTTCATGGCGTCACAGCTGCCTTTCAAGGAGTCCCACTTGCCACTTGTCGCCGAGTCAAGTCATGGATCCGGTATGGAACCTCTGACGCCGAAACTAACCCTTGAATCATGACGGACAGAAGTGGGAGGATTAAGTGTTTTGAGGTCCACCAATCCCGTCTCCAGAACGCTGTCTCGCATTCGCCTTCCATTCGGAGTTGTGGTGGATGAAATGGGTACATGGCCTATTCAATGAGTTGCAGTAGCCAGCCCTATAAAGCTTTTATCCTCCCAAACTAGTCTCGAGCCGAATGACTGACTGCGGAGAGATGGAAGGGAGGGTTGGTCTGAATGGGTATCTTCCGGGATTGGTCGCGGAATGCACCGTGATAGGTGGCACTTACCAATACACCATCTCCATCCATCATCATAGAATAGGAGTTTTTCCCTTTCCTTGTGGGGGAGTTAGGAGGGTTGGGAGGCGACAACACGCCCTCTTTCATTATCTGTACTTCAGGGAACAGTAACAACTCCGTCCATTCAATTCCTATGTAAAGAGTACATAACTGGTAACAAATGTCCGAATTGAAGTTTGGTAGGGATCGTTTTCGCTCTAAAAGTAGAACCATAAACCGAGCAAAGAATAAACTTTTCATATTAAGAGAATATATTGTATTGTTAATGGCAAAAAAGCGTCTTCTGATGGTTGCCTTCAACAACATATTCGTGATCCTGAGCCTGTTCCAATGTATTTCAAGCTGTTCGAGAGATCGTAAACTGGTAAAGTGACCCCCATACTGGGCTCTTGAAGGAGGTTACTCCTAGAACTCCTGTAAGTCGAAGAGTCTCCGTTCCGATACTCTTAACTGCAACTGGCCCAATGATTTCGGTAACTTCTCGTCGTAGGATCGGCTTCTTACCTCGACTTCGGAGGTTGTATTTGGAGGTGGCAGCGTTCTAGGCGATTAGTATCGTAAGTCAATGAAGGGCTCCACGTCATTTCTCCCTTGACGAGGTTGTTTCTGTGAAGGTTCAAAGGCTTCTG